GTTTTAGGACGGAGAAAAAGGGGAAGTGGAAAGAAAGTTTTAGGACGGAGGGAGTATTATTTTTTGGAATAGATAGGGAAGATATGTATGGAACTTTTAGTTAAAATTTGACATTGTAAATAATAATCGTACAACTTAAACTGAGGAGGGAGTAATAGCTTTTTTTGCTTCTATATCCATCAGTCTAACACCCCTTCAAACTAATCTCAATCTTTTAATTACAAGAATGTGACTCGAACATTGAATATGAAGAAGCTTGGAATAACTTCCTTACAATTACTTTTATTGGGAGAAATATATAATTAGGATTAAAACATGTCATATATAATACTCTTAAAATATACCCTCTGTCTTAATACATTCTTCTCATTAAAAGAAATGTTCAAAATCTCTTTTGTTTTAAAAAAAATTATTTACAATAATAACTATTGAGAATATTAATTTAGAATAGAGAGTGTGCAATTTTAATATTTTAATTTCAAAATATGAGTTATAATACCGATATTCCTAGCAAAGACCGATCTTATGCCACTATGTAATTTGGTGTTGGCAAGCACTACATTCATTTGTACTCGTAATGTGTGTTTTGGTCTTTTGGAGCGCACTAATCAAGAGTGAGATCTCTACGTTGTAGGTAGGATTGAGTCTGGTTCTGGCGGTTCGATTTTCACTCAAAGCTACAAAAAATCGGAATGTAAGTTTGTGGTTTTGTTCGGTTTAATTGTACACCAAAAATATGTAAATTGTTGGTTATTTAGATTGCTTTTATGTGTTTTTATTTCGGGTTTTTTAATTGTTTCAATTTTTAAAAAATTAAAATTTATAAGCATTGAAAAATTATAACAACACTAACTTGATGAAACAATAAAAATATGTAGAGTTGAGTTCAATTATTTCGGTTGGATTTTTACCAAAACTAAAAACTAAACAACATGTTAGAGTTTAATTTGGTTTAGTTTTACGTAAAAATTATGTGTCGACTGTCAAGCAAACATCTAGAAGATTCTAAATATTTTCAAAGCTTTCGTATGTAAATATCAATTACGGAATATTTAGCTTTTCTGGTGTAATACTTTCATTTCCATAACAACGAAACATCAATAGTTTTCATGGAAATATGTAAATTACTCGGATCAATTTTTAGTGTTAATATAATTTTGTATGAGATTTGTTGTTGGTGTTTAAATTTCTAGATCTTTTAGAGTTTATAATATGGCATAAAATGTTTAGTAGTTAAGATAGAAAAAATAACTTTAATCGAGTAATAAGTTATTTGCATCTATATTTCTATATTTTTTCACATATCACATATACTCATATACATAAAACGAAGTACATAAGAAAGTCTGGTTTATTTGGTTTGGTTCAGTTTTTCATAGTGAAACCAAAACGGAAACAAAACAATAACGGTTTGATTCGGTTTTTTACATTCGGTTTTGATTTTTTGGTTTCGTTTTTTTCTAGCTTGTTTTGATAGATTTCGATTCGATTTGCGGCTTTCGATTTTTCCAACTCGGCCCTACCTATAGATCACGTTAGAGCATTTACAATGAAGGGGAATTGGATGGTGAGCGGAGGCCGTCGATTGCAAAGCGCCAATCGGGTCGCAAGCCGCGGCGCATGCCGCGTGCCTTGCGCAAAGTCGATCCTGCGGCGCGGGCAAGTTTGAGCGGCGGCCATTATTGAAGTGGTCAGTCACGTTTGATCCATTTTTTTATTTCAACCTTATAAATTCATCACTTTTCCGGATATAGTTTAATTTATCTCTTGTTCAATTCAATCTCTCTCTCTCCAGGAGGATTTGATCAAAAATATTTAGAGGCACAACAATACTTAATTCTAGTATTAATTTACGTTGTATTTGTATTTTGGTCATTTATTTTTTTTATCTCGCTGCATTTTTGTTAATAATGAGTGTCCTTGTTAGCATTTTTATTTTAATTAATGTATTTGTTTTTAAAAAAATATTAAATTAAAAATGATGAATAAAGAGGCAAGACGAGAGGGCGATAGTATTGCAGGTGTTTTGGGCGGATTGAAAATTAATGAGATGCTGATATGGCAGGCAGTGAAGCGGAGCGAGAGTCTGCTACATTGTAAATGCTCTTACGTTTATATTCTCATCAACTTATTCTAATTACTTTTTTTATTTGAATATATTAGATTAGAAATAATTTTAAATATAACTTTAATCAAATCAAAACTCAAAATTTATTTTATTCAAATCAAATAAAGAAAACATCACCCTGAAGAGAAGATCTTTGTCTTATCCTTTCTTTTTTACTCGCAAGGAAAAGCCCCGAGTGTCCGTTAGGTGGCATCTTTTTCTTATCATCTGGGTTCACAAATTAAAAACAAAAATGTCGGTATCAAAAGATGGGGATTTTAATATTCTTCGTCTTTCAAATTAATTTGTCTATTTTGATTTTGGGATATTTAAAGAAATGCTTAAAAAATTAACAAGAGAGCATAATTTTGGAAAGATAATTTTGAGACGAAAAGTGTTCAATTTATATTCAATCCGTCCCAAAAACAATGTCACGATTACTATTTCAGTCTCTCGATAACTCTTGTTTGTTTACTCGTTTTGGTTAATCTTCTGATGAAACAAAATATTCTTGTCGTATCTTATTTTGTAGAACTTTTGATTTACTTTTGAATTGTATAATTTTTATTTTTATTTCTCTACTAATTTATAATTAAAATAATTTTAAAAGAGATTATATTTTACGCATTCTTCGAAATGGTGTAAATAATTTAGGACGTAGGGAGTATATTAATAAATCAAATAGATTTTTTGTAACGCCCTAAAACATACTCTAGAATTATTAATGAATAAATAATCAATTAATCAAATTTGTTTTGATTAAAATAAATTATTGTTGGGCTTTGGGCCGATACAAACTTTGTTTTGACATCTAAATCTGGATAAGTCTCATAGAGATAAATCCAATATGTGGACTATTTGTGTGATCTTGATTGGGAACCTGAGTACAGACACAAAACAAGAGTAAATAAAGAATTTGTTTAGAATGTAAATATTGAAACGATTTGTTGAAATAAATCATGAGAATAATTGATATGAATTAAATGAGAGAACCTTTTATGAGAAAGGTCAATTAAACCAATTTTGACTCTGTTAAAGTCAAACACCCAAAAATATGATGTCGGAAAAAGTATTACAAATAATTATGAAAAGTATATCGTTGTGTAGAGCTTGACTGTCTGACCCCAACGGTTCAATCGGATTTCAATTTGAAGAAAATTTGACCAAAAAGTATACCCCGACTGGGACCAAATATTAGTCCCAATCAGGGACTACGTACTAAACCGCGCCCTGTTCAATTAC